AGTAGAGACAGGGTCCCACCATTTGGCCAGGATTGTTTCAAACTTCTGACCCAAGTGCTCCATCTGCCTCCGCCTCCCAAATTGCTGGGATTACAGGCATGAGCCTCCATGCTCGGCCTTTACTATTAATTCACAGCCATATCAGTCTGTTCTGTTTGGATACTTTTTGAAACCTAATAATTTTTTCTAAAGTTTCTGTGGAAGACTAGATGGGTGGAAGTGAGAATTACAAAGAAACATTAAAAAAGAGTAAAATGTTTTACCAATTTTAAGGATCCCTGCCTATACTTATAAAAATATGATGTTTATCTAAACATATGATAACCATGTTATTTCAAACCAGATAATAATGATGGAATAGCAAAATTAAATAATGAAAGAGGAAGACGAAATATATGTATTATAGTTAAGATTTTGTTAAATTTGGTCTTTCAAATCAATGATATTATTCAATATAGTTTATAGCACACAGATGTAAATGCTGTACTATGCTGAAACAGTTAAGCATTTGTGCCCTCAGTCAAACGATCACAGATCACATCCATCTATGATATGTATATGATAGTGAAAATCCTACTCACTGAGATAATTACTTGTTGATTTAATTTCTGCTATTTTCTCTTACTAGATTTGTTGCATATATGTTTTTAAATAGAATTCATCTTGCCTGTGTAGTGCATACACATGAGGTGTGCACACACACACGTACACATATGCCATCATCTGTGTGCATAAGCATACTCAGGTACACTTGTTTTGAGTTTATGCTAGCTGTATAAAAGTAACTTCTAGTTTTTCATGTTTTTATTTTGAATCCATTTATATATTAAGGAAATTATGTATTCTTTCTTTTCCTTTCTGAACTATGAATTCTTGGCCCAGGAACTTTATTATAGGAGTTCTTTGATGAAATTTTGATAATCTTCTCATTAATTATTTGTATGGCAAATATTTTAGTATTGATTTCTTCTAAAGTCAGTTTTGATGATTTCAGACCACATATTTTTAAAAATGATTTGAGATTGGCACTTCATTTTATGGTTTATAAGTTTATATTGAATATGTCATTAATGATAATTCCTGTTTTTTCTGCTAAGTTTTCCATATTCTGTTTATATCATTGTACTTTTTGAATAGCTAAATATATTTTTAAAAATATTCTTATGCCATAGAAGAAAAGATCCTAAACACCTTTTGTGTGATTCATATCACTAGTTAGAATAAAGATAAAACAAAGACAATTTTAAATTCTGTTAACTTATGATCAAATATTATTTCTCCACACCAAAATACCAAGTGAATGATGTGAAGTGTAACCCAACCATTGGCTATGTTTCATGTTTTTGTAACACACTTGTTTTCTTCAGCACAGTATTTGCAAAAATTGTGTGCGCAGTCATCAGATACATTTTCTGGGCCTGATTTCCTTCCTGATGTAATTTTATGATCATCCATTTTCCAATTTCCTTTGAAATTCACTCATTTAGTAAGAATTTAGTGAATATATTCTGTGTACACTGCTTCATACTGAAATTGGTGATTTAAAAAGAAGTTAAAATGTATTCTTTATTAATACTTTCTGGGAACATTCATTGTACATGTGCATCAAAGGCATGCACATAGGAAGAATCTGCAACAATTTAATTTACATACAATATGAACTATAAAAATGTGTGATACAGAAAACATGTCAAAAATAACAAGCTAGCCCTACAGGAAGTAAATTAGAAAGACAATGAGAATCTGTACTTGGACTGGACATTGAACAATAAGTAAATTTTAAGAGTCAATGGGAATAGAAAGACAATTGAAAAATTAGGTATATGAAAATAATGTTTTTTGAAAACCTCTTTTCTGTTTTTATTCCAATAAAATGTTAGTATGTTGGTGGAAGATAAATCTAAGAGATTACCATAGAATAGTAAATATGTATTATAGACCTTAATGGTTTCTAAATGTAGAAGTTTATTATATGGTTTAAGTCTGTATTTATTCAGAAAAATGCATTATTCTTATATTTACTTTCCCTGATGAGTCATTTGGCCTTCTTTTTAGAAACGTATATTGGTTATTCACATTATATCAACCACATGTATAAACAATTGAAGAAAGTTGTAAACAAAAAAAAATTGCTCTGATCCTCACATAATTTATATTCTAGAAACAAAAGATACAGTTTAATAAATAAGTCAAATAATATGTACTTCATGACAGGAGATATTATCCATGTCAAAGTTTCATAAACAATCACCTGGATATGGCCATGCAATGCCAATATATGTATTGTGGAAATATAAGACCTTCTGTGTGAAAAAGAATTGAAAGGAATCCTGGACTCAAACGAATATGTAAAAAGTTTTTATAGAGTGTTAAGCAGGAGATGATTGTCATTTGAAATAACAAGTTATAGGTGGGAATGGAAAGAGTAAATAGACCAAGGAAACATTTGAGGGAAAATACTTTCTGATATTATATTTATGCTGCAAGGGAACAGAGAAAAGTAATAAATAATTATTTTCAAATTTCTGGCTTAAAAATTTGTTAATCCAGCTCCTGATACAGGGGATATTAGTTAAGACTAACTGCTTTGGTTGCCAGGTAAAGAAATTCTACTTTGTCAGGAACAGGCAGGAGTCAATATACTGTGGTCCACGGCCAAATTGATCTTGCCACCTGTTTTTGTAAATGAAGTTTAATTGCAACACAGCCATATCCATCATTGGAGCTTAATAGTTGCACCCAAACTGTATGTTCCATAAAAACCTAAAATATTTGCCATCTAGCCCTTTACAGAAGATGCTTACTGACCTTGGACTAAAACAGAACAGTAAAGTTCATCAGTGTTCACGTGTTTTCAGGTGTTCAGACAGTGTCATCCGGACTCTGCCTCTGCATCTTTCAGTTCTGCTTCAACATCGGCTCCTGCTTCAGTAGGCTGTGAATGTGCTACACTGAGACAACATTACCGTATCCATTTAGAATCGAAAGGGAGTAAAGGTTGTCCAACATTTTTAGCAAAGTTCATGGAAGTCACTCTCTGTACTGAGTTCTGGATTTCATGGCGTCTGTGGAGTTATAGGTGGAATAAAGTCATTCGGACTGAGGATTTGGAGTCTCCAAAGGAAAATCATGGTACTATTATCACCCACACCTGATGTCCAGCATATTGGGAACATAGGAGAAGCATAAGGTCTTGGAAAGAGAAAACATTTTTAAATTTTAGTCAGAATGAGTTAAAAAGATACAGTAATTTAAAAAAATGAATACTTATGCAGAACGTATTATGAGCTAGATAAAGTTTTGGTCTTTGGAGAATTTTATCTATATTGACTGTGTTACCTCTCACAATGCTGCTGTGAGAGACATATCTCCATTTTCAGATGAGAAAATTGAGGGAAACTGAAGATATTCAGAAATAATGGCAACCAACTAATACTATTTATTTACTATTTGCTAAATAATTTCCTAAATAAATTTTTAAAGTAATTATCTTCCCGGGCAATGCATAATTATTGAGAAGTCACTGTTATAAGCATCAAATGCCTAGCTATGTACAAAAAGACAAAGTATCTGCCATCTGGGAAATCATGCTACTATGACATGATAGTAAACAGGTAGAAAAAGTTGGCTTTCAGTACTTAAGTACCATCAGCAAAGTATGATGGGAGGCCTTCATTTTAAATGAATGCTGCATGTTCAGCCCAACTCCTTCTAAACATAACTGATACATGAATTGATATCATACTACATATTTCTGTTTTCGAGTATCAGCATAATTTTGAGTGGAGAAAAAATATACATACACCTTTATCTGCAGTGAGATGCTCCCTCTCTCTGTGTAAAGAAAATTGAAATAGAATTGTGTTGTTTTAGAAAAGCAAGATTAAGTTTCTTTTGTTTAATAAATGTAAATTATTTACTTATTGAAAGTAGGTAACGGGAAGATCATGATCACAGCTAATGATTATTGAGTCCTTGAAAAATACTGGATAGTCTTTACTTAAATCATCTTTAGATTAACTGGCATTATTATAAACCTATTTTACCAGCATGGAAATTCCTGTGGTCACCTGGCCCTTAGTGCACCATGTGCTGTATAGTCAGGATTTGAACCCAGTGAGATACAGCTAGAGCAGCATGCTTCCACTCACTGCACCATGATGCCTCCATAGAACCCCATGGTTTTCATTGGTGCTGCTTGTTCTCTTGTCTCAACTGTGAAAACATCTGAGACTTTGCAGCTGCCTCAGAGAAGTAGAAAGAAAATTGCAGTCCCTTTCCTGATACTACCAGGGATAGGAAAGTGACTGCAAACATTGAACACAATTTTAAGAGTAAGAAATGCTCGACTCACTGTTTCCTGAATCGCATAGTGCAGAATATGAATTCAGGCAGTGGCTGACTTTGTCCTCCACCTGTGTAAACAAGGCGGTAGACTCCAGGAGGGAATCTGAGATAAGTTTAAAAATTTTTTTAATTATTAGTTTTGTAACCTGTGACACCTGTATGTGCAGTTTCTGTGGCCCTCTTTAACTCTAAATGGATTATGGAGCAAGTTGATAAATAATCCATCACCTAGAAAACCGTTATGCAGAACAGGCCCCATCTGTGAAAGAAAACAAAAATCAACTTCATTAATGTCTATGTTTTTGGAAAGGAAATTCTCCCTTATGCTTTTCACAGTTATGTAAATCTCAGGCACAAAAAAAGCCTTTTCATAAGTATTAGCATATACTTTTTTTAAATAATGAGAATGTTTTAAATGTTACAATTAAAATATAAGGAGACATAATAGTTAAATTTCAATAATACATGTATGTACAAAGTAGTACAAATCATATGCTGTAATAGATGGGAACACAGTAATTTGGTTCAGAGTATTTAGAGCATGTTCATTAATCTAGATTAATACATTGCATGTTTAATTTAGATAGAAATAACATTTTTATTTTATAATTATATAAGAACATAGCTATTTTTCAGATTTATACATTATTTTCTCAGAATCTGAAACTAAAATTTAGTTTTAGCTGTATTGTCACCTTGTTTTTTCTTTTCGGAGATATGTAGTTTAGGTCAGCTTAGTAATATCCAGAATTTACACATGTAAAATTTAGCAGGATTTTAAGATATACCGATATTCTCAAGAAAGTATGAAATAAATGACAAATTAATGAAAATTAATGATAAAATAATACTAACAATAATCATGGAGAGCACTGATCTTATTTTCCTTGAAATACCAAAGAATTGGCACAATGATGGGACTTTTTTTAGATTAAATGATCTAAATAATTGCTTCAGTCTTCCATTATGCTTTCCTAAACTAGATTCTTAGGACTTTATGATATGTGGTAGTTAAGAGTATACAGAGGGGAAGAAATCACATCCAGTAAGTTGTTTGCTTAACATACTTATCATAGTTCTCACTTATAAGCTAATTTAAGCAATTTTTTAGGTATACATATTCTAAGCTAAATCTAACATAGCTTTATTTTCTGATCTCAAAGAAGATCTTAATTCCACTGAAATTATTGTTATCAATATCACTGTTTCATATGCTTGTTAATATTTAGATATTGTGATACCTACATACATATATACATACATACATATTTGATAAAATATAGCAATAGATATACCTAGAAATACATCTACCTTTTTTAATGAGGCTTTAGCTCATGGCAACTTGAGCACAAAAAAAAGGATGACTGTAGTATCCATAGTCGCAATATACAGGAGTAATCCTACTTCATTGAAGTACCTTTATGAAAGGATAGCATTGTACTACATTAAGGGTCATAAATTATCATGATACTGATGAATGGATTTGTTAGAGAAAATAAGTAAAGTGGTATTTAGTATGTGAGAATCAGTTAGCACTCAAAATTTTATTTTTTTCACTAACTTCTGTGAAACTTTCTATTGTTTTCTTCTGGGATTTGACTTCTCCATTTGGCGAGCTGTCATTTTGACAGGGGTTAACACCAAAGATCATCTTTCCGGAGGGCCATTTTACTGGCAAGCTTGAAGACAGCTGTGGTGGGATTTGCTTCACATTAAACCCAGTTTAGAGGAGAATGCAGAGTCCCCCAGGTATGCTGTTAAAGCAGGGCATGCCAAAGTAATATCTTGCTTGGTTGCCACTTTGAACTGCTTTCTCTTTATATTGTTGAAGCAGATTTTTTTCCCTCCGCCATTAAAGGTATTAATTGTAAGTGCTTGAGAAGCACTTGTCACAAAGCACCTCTGCTCCTACTCCCATTTATTTAGTTGTAGCTTTCAAAACATAGAGAAATAACTGTTTTTTTGTTTTTATATAACAGCACTTTAAAATGTTTCTTTTATGCTGTTCCTAAACAATGTCATAAAGTCATCTCCATTAGAGATCTTTCTGCTTATTTCAAACATCAAAAATTACCCATATGTGTTGAATAATTTTCACACTATATGAAAGCTTCACGTTTCCGTACAATTTTTCCCAATCTAGAATTTTGAATCTACATGGTTTAAGTAGCCCAGACCTTTGGTACCCAGATATGGATGAATTAATCATCAATGACTAATACATATTTTATATAGTTTGAATTTTATTAATTTGTATAATGAAGGGAACTTCAGCCTGTTGTATTCCATGGGAAATCAATCATCTTATGTACAGTGTTTACTTCCCAGCTTTGCAACTATAGTGGCTGGAAATGATAAAGTAGTTCCCAGAATTTCAGTGTTAATTACAGTGTAGTACATCATTGGGACCCTTGTTTTAGAAAAGAAAACCTTTTCAAGATTTGTATTACATTGCCATCTACTTGAAATGTAGTTTAATTGTATAAGAAATACATTTTTTTACAATTTTGATTTTGAGTATTTTCCTACTAAACTATATCAAAGATATTTAATGTTTTCAAAACATGTTTTTGTAAACGTGTTTTGAAAGAAATAAAGAAAATGAATCACCCTAATAAATATTTTAAAATTGTTTTAGATCTAGGATATTGTAGCTGTTATTGTGATACTCTGTCAGTTTTTATCTTCGGGGCCTCCAAGAAACTCATTTCCCAGTTTATGAGGAAGACCATTTACAGCTTCATCACTCAATTAGGAATTGCCCTCAACCACAGGAACCTGCATATGTCAAGAGTATGCCCATTGCGTGAATGCATCCTGAGATCCATTGTTGTCCTATGGTGGGGATACCAAAGTTGAACTCTTATAACTCTATTTGGAACTGTGTTGAAGGCTCATTTTAAGTCCAGAGCTGTTTATAGAATCAGCAGAATCCTCGATTGTCACCTTACTGTTTGGCAGCTTCCCCCTCTTGTCTAACCTTGCATTTCTCCCTTCCTTGCAGGTGTGTATCTCAAGAGCACTCCACAACAAAGATTCTGCCTGCAATCCTCCACTTCAAGGTCTGTTTCAGGAAACCTGTGTTAACACAGTTATGCATAGAGTGGTCTCAGGAAGCTGACTCTAACATGAAAATTTAGATTTGGATCTTTTCCTGACATACTGAATATTCATAAGAGCATATGATACATTTGTCTACCATAAACATGTCATTTCAAAAAATCCTCAAAATTACCTTGTAGAACATAATTTTAAAACTAGTGTGTAGGAATATTTCGTATCAGTTATTCAGTCTTCTTAATATCTGAATCCAAATTAATCTTCCATTCTGCTTTTATTTATAAATAATATGATTGTCAGATTCAATAATTTATATTTTCATTTATTCTAAAGTAGGAAATGCCAGCATAAAAATAAATTATTTGAAACAAATCACATTGTTGTCCCATTTCACCATTACTCACATGTAGAAGATACTGTTTTTAACAAAACTAATAAGAAACAGAAACTACCATTTATTAACTCATGCTTACTGGAAGCATAGAAGGATTTTCTTATTTAACTTTCAATCAACTTTTTCATGAACATTTTTGTTATTGACAAATAAGTTTAATTTATCAAATCCTCACAGCAAATTATAGGTGCCATTATTAACAGATTTTTTTTTTTTTATAAAACATGATTCATAGAAAAGATTTAATGATATGGTTTGGATCTTTGACAGCATCAAATCTCATGTTGAATTGTAATCCCCAGTGCTGGAAATGGGGCCTGGTGGGAGGTGATTAAATTATGGAGGTGTAGTTCTCATGAATGGTATAGCACCTTTCCCTTGGTGCTGTCCTGTGATCGAGTTTTCATGACATGCGGTTGTTTAAAAGTGTGTGGCAGCTTTCCCATCTCTCTCTCTTGCTCTTCCTGCAGCCATGTGAAGGGCTGTTCCCCCTTTGCCTTCTGCCATGATTGTAAATTTCCTGAGGCCTCCCCAAAAGCTGAGCAGAAGTCAGCATCATGCTTCCTTAACAGCCGATGGAATTATGAGTCAATTACATCTATTTTCCTTACGAATTACGAGTCTTCAGGTTTTCTTCATAGCAGTGAGGAAATGAACTAATTCAGCTAGTAAATGACAAATATAAAAATAGCAAATAGCACAAGAAGATACCAGGCAAGACTAGGGGACTCCGGAACCTAAGGATTTCTGAAAGCATAGGTTTCTAAGAGTGTGGAGAAACTAAGTCTGGGACATGTTTAGGAACTCAATTACATAAGAAATAAAAATCATATGTAGACTATTTAAATTTAGAAGAGGAGGAGGAGAGGAGAAAGATGAGGAAGAGGAGGAAGAAGAAGACATTCTGGCTTAGCACATTTACTCCAGTCTATAGGGAAAGCTCAGTTATACCCCTTCCCCACTAACCTTAAGAGGAGCCCTAATGTTCGTAAGGGGCTTTCTCAAGGACTCAAATCCTCAGGGATACAAAATAGGGTGGGATACCGAGCAATAGAGGGGTGTGTGTGTGTGTGTGTGTGTGTGTGTGTGTGTGTATGTTAGACAAATAGATGAAAAATGTTATTTTGCAACATAATCATTTTGTTTGGAGTCTCTCTTTTTCTCTCAATTTTCTCTTTCTCTCCCTCTCTCTTTTTCTTTCTCACTTTCCCTTTGCAATACTAGTGAAGTAAGGCAAAATGAAATGAGCATGGGATCTTTCTCTAGCTTGATAGATCGTTTGTTATTATTTGTTTCTTCATTACAAACTGCCCTGTTAAACTAGTTCATGGCTTAAAACAAAATAATTTGTCTTGTTCCTGAAACTGAACTTTGGGCAGGGCCTAGTGTGAAGGTCTCATCTCTGTCTGTGTCAATCAGGTCAGCTGAGGAAACTCCACTGGGGTCACAGGTATAATTTTCAAGACAGCTCACAGATGTGGGTGATGGATGCTGTCAGTTGGTACCTCAGCTGCAACTGTCATTCAGGAGCCTCACTTCCTTTCCAAATGAGAGTCTCTGCAGAACAGCTTATGTTCTCCATGGCATAGTGGTAGTATCCTAAAAGCAAGTCTTCCAAGGGACAGGAAATAGAAGATGCTAATCTCTCTCTCTACCCCCCCCCCGCACACTTTAAGTTCTGGGGTACATGTGCAGAATGTGCAGGTCTGTTACATAGGTATACATGTGCCATGGTGGTTTGCTGCACCTATCAACTCATCACCTAAATTAGGTATTTCTCCTAATGCTGTCCCTCCCTAGCTCCCAATCCCCCAAAAGGCCCCAGTGTGTGATGTTCCCCTCCTGTGCCACAGGTTCTCCTTGTTCAACTCCCACTTATAAGTGAGAACATGCAGTGTTTAGTTTTTTTTCTTGTGTTAGTTTGCTGAGAATGATGCTTTCCAGCTTCATCCGTGTCCCTGCAAATGATATGAACTCATCCTTTTTTTTTTTTTTTTTTTTTTTTTTTTTTTACAGCTGCAGAGTATGCCATGGTGTATATGTGCCACATTTTCTTTATCCAGTCTGTCATTGATGGATATTTCGGTTGGTTCCAAGTCTTTGCTGTTGTGAATAGTGCCTCAGTAAACATACGTATACATGTGTCTATATAGTAGAATTATTTATCAACCTTTGTGTATACAGTCAATAATGGGATTGCTGGGTCATATGGAGTTTCTAGTTCTAGATCCTTGAGGAATCACCAAACTGTCTTCCACAATGTTTGAACTAATTTACACTGCCACCAGCAGTGTAAAAGCATTCCTATTTCTCCACATCTTCTCCAGCATCCATTATTTCCTGACTTTTTAATGATCACAATTCTAACTGGCATGAGTTGGTATCTGATTGTGGTTTTGATTTGCGTTTCTCTAATGACCAGTGATGATGAGCTTTTTTTCATATGTTTATTGGCTCCATAAATGCCTTCTTTTGAGAAGTGTCTGTTCATATCCTTGTCCACTTTTTGATGGGATTGTTTTTTTTTTCTTGTATATTTGTTTAAGTTCTTTTTTTTATTATACTTTAAGTTCTAGGGTACATGTGCACAACGTGCAGGTTTGTTGCATATGTATATTAGTGCCATGTTGGTGTGCTGCACCCATCAACTCTTCAGTACCCATCAACTCATCATTTACATCAGGTATAACTCCCAATGCCTTCCCTCCCCCCTCCCCCCTCCCCCCTCCCCATAATAGGCCTCAGTGTGTGATGTTCCCCTTCCAGAGTCCAAGTGATCTCATTGTTCAATTCCAACCAATGAGTGAGAACATGTGGTGTTTGGTTTTCTGTTCTTGCGATAGTTTGCTGAGAAGTTCTTTGTAAATTCTGGATATTAGCCCTTTGTCAGATGGATAGACTGCAAAAATTTCTCACATTCTGTGTGTTGCCTGTTCACTCTGATGATGATTTCTTTTGCTGCACAGAAGCTCTGCAGTTTAATTAGATCCCATTTGTCAATTCTGGTTTTTGTTGCCATTGCTTTTGGTGTTTTAGACATAAAGTCTTTGGCCCATACCTATGTCCTAAACGGTATTGCCCAGGTTTTCTTCTTGGATTTTTATGGTTTTAGGTCTTACATTTAAGTATTTAATCTATGTTGAGATGATTTTTGTATAAGGTGTAAGGAAGAGCTCCAGTTTCAGTTTTCTGCATATGGCTAGCCAGTTTTCCCAACACCTTTTAAATAGGGAATCTTTTCCTTGTTGCTTGTTTTTGTCAGGTTCATCAAAGATCAGATGGTTGTAGATGCGTGGTGTTATTTCTGAGGGCTTTGTTCTGTTCCATTGGTCTGTATATCTGTTTTGGTACCAGTACCATGCTGTTTTGGTTACTGTAGCATTGCAGTATAGTTTGAAGTCAGGTAGTGTGATGCCTCCAGCTTTGTTCTTTTTGCTCAGGATTGTCTTGGCTATGCGGGCTCTTTTTTGGTTCCATATGAAGTTTAAAATAGTTTTTTTCCAATTCTGTGAAGAAAGTCAGTAGTAGCTTGATGGGGACAGCATTGAATCTACAAATTACGTCAGGCAGTATGGGTATTTCCATAATACTGATTCTTCCTATCCATGAGCATGGAATATTTTTCCATTTATTTGTGTGCTCTCTTATTTCCTTGAGCAGTGGTTTGCAGTTCTCCTTGAAGAGGTCTTTCACATCCCTTGTAAGTTGTATTGCTAGGTATTTTATTCTCCTTGTAGCAATTGTGAATGGAAGTTCACTCATGATTTGGCTCTCTGCTTGTCTGTTATTGGTGTATAGGAATGCTGGTGATTTTTTCACATTGATGTATCCTGAGACTTTGCAGAAGTTGCTTATCAGCTTAAGGAGATTTTGGGCTGAGATGATGGGGTTTTCTAAATATAATATCATGTCATCTGCAAACAGAAGCAATTTGACTTCCTCTTTTCCTATTTGAATACCCTTTATTTCTTTCGCTTGCCTGACTAGCCTGACTAGGACTTCCCACACTGTGTTGAATAGGAGCAGTGAGAGAAGGCATCCTTGTCTTCTGCCAGTTTTCGAAGGGCATACTTCCATTTTTTGCTCATTCAGTATGATATTGGCTGTGGGTTTGTCATAAATAGCTGTTATTATTTTGAGATAGACTTAATCAATACCTAGTTTATTGAGATTTTAGCATGAAGGGCTATTGAATTTTGTTGAAGGCCTTTTCTGCATCTATAATCAGGTGGTTTTTGACATTGGTTCTGTTTATGTGATGGATTACATTTATTGATTTGTGTATATTGAACCAGCCTTGCATCCCAGGTATGAAGCCGAGTTGTCTTGTGGGTAAGCTTTTTGATGTGCTGCTGGATTTGGTTTGCCAGTATTTTATTGAGGATTTTCACAATGATGTTCATCAGGGATATTGGCCTGAAATTTTCCTTTTGTGTTGTGTCTCTTCCAGGTTTTGGTATCAGGATGATGCTGGCCTCATAAAATGAGTTAGGGAGGATTCCCCCTTTTTCTATTGTTTGGAATAGTTTCAGAAGAAATGGTGCTGCCTCCTCCTTGTAACTCTGGTAGAATTTGGCTGTGAATCTGTCTGGTCCTGGGCTTTTTTTGGGTGGTAGGCTATTAATTATTGCCTCAATTTCAAAACTAGTTGTTGGTCTATTCAGGGATTCTACTTCTTTCTGGTTTAGTCTTGGGAGGGTGTATATGTTTAGGAATTTATCCATTTCTTCTAGATTTTCTAGTTTATTTGTGGAGAGGTGTTTATAGTATTCTCTGATGGTAGTTCTTCTGTGGGATGAGTGGTGATATCCTTTATATCATTTTTTTATTGCATCCATTTGATTCTTCTCTCTTTTCTTCTTTATTAGTCTGGCTAGCGGTCTATCTGTTTTGTTGATCTTCTTAAAAAAACAGCTCCTGTATTCACTGATGTTTTGAAGGGTGTTTTGTGTCTTCACCTCTTTCAATTCTGCTCTGATCTTAGTTATTTCTTGTCTTCTGCTTGCTTTTGAATTTATTTGCTGTTGCTTCTCTAGTTCTTTTAATTTTGATGTTAGGCTGTCCATTTTAGGTCTTTCCTACTTTCTCTTGTAGGCATTTAGTGCTATAAATTTCCCTCTTCACACTGCTTTAAATGTGTCCCAGAGATTCTGGTATGTTGTGTCTTCGTTCTCATTAGTTTCAAAGGACAGCTTTACTTCTGCCTTCTTTTTGTTATTTGCCCAGTAGTCATTCAGGAGCAGGTTGTTCAGTTTCCATGTAATTGTGTGATTTTGAGTAAGTTTCTTAATCTTGAGTTTTATTTTGATTGCACTGTGGTCTGAGAGACTGTCATGATGTCCGTTCTTTTGCATTTGCTGGGCACAGTGGCTCATGCCTGTAATCTCAGCACTTTGGGAGACTGAGGCAGGAGCATCGCTTAAGCTCAGGAGTTTAAGACCAGCCTGGGCAACAGGGGGAAAACCCATCTCTACAAAAAAGTTTTCTAAAAATTAGCCAGGTACAGTAACATGTGCCTATAGTTCTAGTTACTCACTTGCTATTTAGGAACTTAGGAATTTTTCACTGGAATTCACGTAAAGAAAGACCGTGGGCATTTGTAATGCATTTAGCATTCATCATTTGACTGCAGGACTCACCCCTAGAACCATAAATTTACTAATGAATTTTTCAGATACTACTCAGCTCAGAACAGAACCTAACCAGCAACCCACCCTCAACCACTGAGTGATCTTTTGTTCTGCTCTATTCTTCCTGAAAGTCCATTACTCTCAGAAAGTGATAAAAACTTGCATTTCTTTTTCTTTTTTCTTCCTAGAGACAGGGTCTTGCTCTGTCACCCAGGCTGCAGTGCAGTGGTGCGATCATGGCTCATTGCAGCCTGAAACCCCTGGGCTCAAACAGTCCTCCCACCTCAGCCTCCCAAATAGCTGGGACTGCAGACATTTGCCCCTATGCCCAGCTAACTTTTTCTTTTTTTAATTGTACAGATGGGATCTTGCTATGTTGTCCAGGATGGTGTCAAACTCCTGGCCTCAAGTGATCTTTCTGCCTCAGCTTCCCAAAGTGCTGGGATTATACACAGGTGGGAGCCATCTGTGTTCAACCCCTATTTTCTTTCTTTTTTTTTTTTTTTTCTTTTGGAGACAGAGTCTTGCTCTGTCGCCCAGGCTGGAGTGTAGTGGCACGATCTCAGCTCACTGCAACCTCCAACTCCCTGGTTCAAGCAATTCCCCTGCCTTAGCCTCATGAATAGTTGGCATTACAGGCACATGCCACCATGCCTGGCTAATTTTTTGTATTTTAGTGGAGACAGGGTTTTGCCATGTAGGCCAGGCTGGTCTCAAACTCCTGACCTCAAGTGATCTATCCGTCTCGGCCCCCCAATTTGCTGGAATTACAGGCATGAGCCACGGCACATGGTCCCTTTTTAAAATAATGATTTTATTGAAATATGATTAACATATCATACAAATCATTTATGAAAGTATGCAATTCAGGCTGGGTGCAGTGGCTAATTCCTATCATGCTAAGACTTTGGGAGGCTGAGGGAGGTGGATCACTTGAGTTCAGGAGTTTAAGACTAGCCTGGGCAACAAGACTAAACAGCATCTCTACTAAAAATACAAAAATTAGCTGGGTGCGCTGGCTTATGCCTGTTGTCCCAACTACTCGGGGACATGAGGCTGGAAGATCACTTGAGCCCAGAAGGCATAGGTTGCAGTGAGACCAGATGGTGCCACTGCACTACAGCGTGGGTGACAGAAGGAAGAAAAAAAGAAAGTTTGCAATTAAGTGGTTTTTAGATATTCAAAGAGCTGTGTATTCCTTACCACAGTCACCTTTAGAAGTGATTGCCCACTTACAAGTTACCCGTTTATAAGTGAGAAACCCTCACTTACTAGCTACTACCTCCTACTTCCTCCACATTCCTGTGTCTTTATAGACAACCACTGATTTATTTTCTGTCATTGTAGTTTTGCCTAATCTGGATCTTTTATAGAAATAGAATTATACAATATGTGAGCTTTTGTAGTTTGCTTTTTTTCCCCCTT